AGAAGATCCACATCAGGTTATTGTGTTTTCGCTGGAGGAAATTTGGTCTCATGGAAGAGTAAGAAACAGAACGTTGTGTCAAGATCGAGTGCAGAAGCAGAATATAGGGCTATGGCACAATCTGTGTGTGAGATAGTGTGGATATGTCAGCTCTTGACTGAAATAGGTCTTAAAATTTCAGTACCAGCAAAATTGTGGTGTGATAACCAAGCTGCACTTCATATTGCCTCTAATCCAGTCTTTCATGAACGAACAAAACACATTGAGATTGATTGTCATTTCGTTCGTGAGAAGATTCAGCAAGATTTAATTTCTACAGGGTATGTGAAGACTGGAGAACAATTAGGAGATATCTTCACGAAAGCTCTAAATGGGGTTCGGGTTAATTATCTTTGTAACAAGTTGGGCATGATTAATATCTATGCTCCAACTTGAGGGGGAGTGTTAAATATATGTGACCATAATTGATAGTATCTCATTTATAGGGACTTGTCCTGTAAATAGTTTGTATATATATATGTATATTAGGGATTAAATGAAATAAAAAAAACATATACTTTCTTCTCTCCCCCCTGCGACTTCAAGACCCAAACAGAGTGTGCTCAGGGTGGATTCCCAGGATTCGTTCTGGGTGATATAGTGTGGATTGCACCTCCCCCATCAGCTATAGCTTTTGAGCAAATTGCTCACATCTCTGAACATCAGTTGGTATCAAAGTTGCAGGTCCCTTGCTAGAGTCAATGCTGAAGCATTTCTATGGAGTGGGTGTGTAATACATGAGCATGCTTGAAATGGGAGTAGACCTGTTGTCACTATTTGAGAATGGCCAAATTGTGCCTTTATAAGGTGTCCCTTGAAGTGAGGCCCAAATGGAGTGGACTTGAGGTGGATTCCTAGGCTTGGTTCTGGGTAGCATAGAGTGGATAGCACTTTCCCCATCAGCTATACTTTTGGTTACATCATACTCATAGCAAAAACACTAGAGAGGAGCGTTTTAGGATTGAGGCACTTGTAACATATCAATAGTGTTGAGTTTCTTTAGGAGTAAATTCCAGGTAAATGTCTTCATATGGTAGGGAGGATTTTGAATTTCTAATTGAAGGTTGCAATGAGAAAAGGTGTTTGGATGTACATGATAAATGAAAAAGAATTTACATAGAAATGCACCAGAACTATCAAAACTCTAAACTCTACCATTGGAGAGAGAGGAATGACAGAAAGAAATAAAGTAAACTTAGCAAACTTTCCACTTCAATAGTTCCCTTAAGATTTTGAAGAAACTGAATTTACAAAAGAAATATTTTAGAAAATACATAATCCAGAGAGCAGAGTCATCCTGTTCATTTCATGCGATGACCTCTTCCTCCTGAGCAAATAGTCACCGTCCTTTTGTTGTGACGTGTGGATTTCTCCAGGCAAAGCAAGGCCTTGTCAAGATCAAATTTTGGAGTCTTTGTAATTGTCAATGTTGTCACAAGTTTTTATTGTAGCTTCCAACCAACCTAACACCTCCCCTACCCCCAGGTGAGGGGTGGTGTCAAAGAAAAATAAGAATATAAAATAAGCTCATAAAAGACGGGCCTGCTGCTGCTAGTTTGTTCTCAAGTACCAAGCCAAACAGACTTATTTCAGTCAAGCACCTCTAACTATGCACATGCCTAAAATAAGAAAATTGCATTGAAGTTAAAGATGGGAGAGTTTATTGGGTTGGTACACTAACATGCGAGATTCAGGGTCCTTGCGAGGATCATATCCTTTTCTGATCCAGAACCTAAGGAATGGCCCATTAGAGAAGTAATAAGCTGCTCTGAAAAGAAGCCTGTAATAAGTTAAATGGATTAACATAAATAATGAGAAAGACCACCTTCTTTACAAATCTTTATTTCAGCACATACTATCTACGCAACATTAGTTATATAACAATCCAGTTAACACAAAGACTACCTCCGAAGCATCTCAGATTTGAAAGCCAGGCCTATGTCGAGCAAACGTTCAGCCAACGAGTCTTTGACCCATATCGGATGCTCATCAAACAATTCACATACAGCTGTCTGCCATTTCCACTGATCCGAGTCTCGAGCTATGTATTTTTCCCAATTTACTTTCTTAGGAATCTGTATGAATGTCAAGTGTAAACAAAAAAGGCATTGCAGAATAGAAGCGTTCAGATCTTGCAATCAGCCGCCACTTAAAGCCATATGAAACTCATCGACAAGGTCCAACACTAAGCATGCTCAACTGCTGGAGCAAATACTCTGAACATCATAAAGATAAAAGTAAAAAGCATATATATGAACAAACTATATATATTAAAAAAAAGATGAAGATATACTATGGAGATACAAAACACAAAGATTGGAAGCAGACTACTGGTTTCGCATGGAAAGAATCATACAAGTAAACAAGATAGTGCCAGAAAGTTCTTGAAAAAACAATAAAAATTATTGGAACGTTAAGTTTCATAGAAAAGATAGAGGAAACTACATAAAAATAGATGTCCCTTATCAATGTTTTAAGGACGAGGGAAGAGGGTGGTTCTTTAGGGCGATTCTACATACTCGGTCTATGAACCGAAATTAAAGATATCTACCAAATTCCATAATGCATACAACAATGAAATATTATAGGTGAATCTATTGATAAAATATTCTCTATGGAAATTTAAAGTATTTTTTAGCGATGCAAAGAGATGAATTTGCAGTGAAATCTTTTCACCATTCAATCATTAAAATAAAAAATCAAGAAAGAGTTTTTTTAAGGGGGGTGAGAATAATATGATGAAACTGAATATCAATCAAAGAAAGATATTTAGCAGGTCAATAATGATGAACTGCATGAAGACTGAAATCTATAATTGCTATTGAGATAATAGTGTATTAAATAAGAACAAATGGTTAACAAATCATTTCCTGTTTTCCAAAAATAAGTGCATCCAAATTACAAAATTAACATGGCCTAATGTGGTTGCAAAGACTTGATTTCGTTGTATTTTTGGGTAAATGTAACATAAAAATGAACTACACAGAGTGCCAAAAAGAATCCATGCAATCAACCCTATTTTTATAAAGGTTCACTCTGATATTGTTGTTGTTGATGCAAAAATAATTAGTATTCTATTTCCAAGTTGAATGATATTGTTCTACCATAATATATTTTTTTCAAGTAAGAAATCTTTTAAAGCCACCATGGCCAACCCAAGTACAAGCATGGAATTTAGAGATTGCTAGAACAATAAACATCTTTGAGGGAAAAACAAAAAAAGCACTAGAGATACGATTATTGAATCCAAAAGAGAGTACTTGGATTCTCCCAATAACTATAAAGTGTAGCACGCCTAAATCTAACTAGGGTTCACGGTGTGGAGGAACTGGATCAGAAAAAGGAGGGATTCATACAATGATATGACATTGAAATCTGGCAATAGTAAAATAGGCAAACCACTACAATTTGGCTAAAAACGAGGAAAAGGGGATGACATTGAAATCTGGCAATAGTAAAATAGGCAAACCACTTCAATTTGGCTAAAAACGAGGAAAAGGGGGGAAAAGTCAAATAAGTAGTCTTTTTCAAAATAAATCTACCAATTCTGACTCGGAATATTGTACTAGGACAAGTTATTCACATTTCATATGATGGTCAGATGCGAACTCGAGCTAAGTAATATGAATTCATCGAACCCATATAAAGTTTTCATGTGTCCATTAAGCAAATATGGGTTCGATCAAAATTTGTTATTCTGGAGCACCAAAGGCAAGCATGCACATCGAACAAAATATTTATGAGCCTAGACAAAAACCACAACAAGAAATATAAATACTAAAGAACTAGGATATCTTTGATGTTGAAGTCAATGGCAAGACTTGGCTCTATCTCCATCTGCATCAAATAAATTGAAGAAGAGTCAATTATTAAAGAGTGAACTGGACAATGGTCTTTAGAATTTAGAAATTCCACAGTTTTCACACATGCACTGGACATTGATTATAAGATGAAAAAATAGCAGATAAATCAATCTCTAAATCAATGAAGAGGACAAATATCTTAGAAATTAAATAGACCTAATCCATACACTAAGCAATCAAAATTTATCAAGATTAAACAGGCAGCATGAAATCTACATAAGAATTGAATGTTTTGCGAGTGGTAGACCATCACACACCAGGAAATATAAGCCTGAGAATTTTGCAATAGGTAGCCATTCAAAAGCATGCAGAGTGAGTATTTATTTTTTCAACTTAAAAGAGGAAACTTATGACTACAAGAAATCATCAACAGACCAGCTAAAAAAATTGTTAGTTCACTTTACAAAATGAACTGAGGCAGACCAAAATGAACACTTTAGAATTACCAACATGCCCATGTTCTTGTATACGTGAATCAATACTTTCAAATTTAAATATAGTCGCACTAGAATTGAGTTTGAGATACTTTGAGTGATGTGTTAATTCAATTAAATTATGTTAAATATCCTTCCAAAAAATACAGAAGAAACTAGCTATATGCATTAACATCATTTAATGCAAGAAAACTTGAAAATGGGGAACTAAAGGAATACGAGTTCAATATTGGGAAAAAAAAACACATTAAACTAAAAGAATACAACACTGCTTTTTTGCTAACAATCAACATACCTCCCAACGATGTTGGACAACTCCCTCTTGTTTCTTTTTCGAGCTCAGATCTACTGATGGTTTTAACCTGCAACTTCAAAATCACTAAGATCAGAGCTAAAAGCAGTTAATCTTTTAACATCACATGTGTATTCAAGCAATCAGCATGTCAACCAATGCTTGAACCATAACAGTGACTGAAGTCTTTAAGGAACAATACAACAACCTAAAAAATAAATATCCGAAGCCGTATAATTTGTTGTAAAAGAAATTTCCAAATCAGGTTAGAGAAGAATCAATAAGCATCTAACCATTGAAGCCATATATATGATCAGGTTAAGATTCATTCTACAAGAACTACCGAGCCCTTCTATACTTTATTCAGGAATCATCAAAGAGAATTTTAGCATTAACTATTTTTATCTTATTCATTCACAATGCTGCATAAAATTCTCTTTAATGAAATTTGAACAACCTGCATATGAAACTCACGAAGACTGGACGAGGAATTATTCATAGTCCAGAAAGCAATGGCCATAAACAAAAGGAAACTACCCCCCAAAAGATCATATCTTTTAGTAAGTTTCCATTGCTATATTGGTAGATCTTTTAGTAAGTAGTCCATTGCTAATTCTAGATATGTACTGAAAAAGTGGGAAAAAAGGATTCACTTAGCAGATCCCAAATTCATTACAACGCTTAATTTTTTGTTAATTGTTCAACAGGATTGTCAAAACTCATTGCTTCAGTCACGCTGGAAATTTAGACATCCCAAAGCAAACTCCTGTAGGCCTTCAGTGAAGATACCCCAAAAGAAAACTCTATCCTACCATAACTGCAAAAGGTATACCATGGTCTTCTACACAAATTTAACATTTCTCTGATTCCAAATACACCATCCATACATCTGCCCCAAACAATCAGGAGCATTAGATCTTTCTGGTAAAGTATCATATAACCTTCTCCGTTATTCTCTTGTACTATGACGATGTAGAAAACATCATTAGTTTCATTACGTTTCTTACATATAATTAGGCCTCCTAACCTGCAAGCAAATATCCAGCCTTTGAAGAGCCATTGACCATGTGTTATAGATACCATATTTCTTTTAACGGTTTGAAAAGTTAAAAACTAACAGTAGTTTCTTTTTGCCAACTATAGTAAGAACTTGACTCAAATATTTTGATATTCCCCATTCAACGTGACTTAAACTTCAAAGCTACCTTAAATAAATTTAAGGCTTCTCTGATTGCCAGTGTGCAACTCTTAATCTTTAATCGGTCGGAAGAATGAAACTTCACAATAAAGAAAGTCATATTTTTAACTGGAGGAAGTAAAGCTAAAGCATCTTACGCTACTTTCTCTGGTACATCCTTTAGTGAAAAAAGTGGTGGTACTAATATCATCAAATCCTCTTGATCAAAATCCATGAGTCCACCCTTCTCTTCAAGTAGAATAAACAAGAAAGGGAAGTTAGATAAACCAAGAGCAATTTCCATCCTGTGCAATAGCTCACAATAATGAAAGAAGACTAACCAAACTGCGGTTCCACTTCAGCCCACTTTCTTTTCCTTCTTCGGGCAACATCAGCATGAACAGCAAGAACATGCTGGTAATCCACCATTCCTTTAGGAAACAAAACACATGTGAGTACAAAATACAACTGGGCTACAGGAATAATGGGAAAGGTAGTAGAAAACCTCCAAATAATATAATACCCATCTGACCATTAAAATTATAAGCCTCTGAAACTCGAGCAACAATATCAGCATAAAGCTCCGGTTGTACTTGTCTAGGTAGCTGGACTTCAAGTTCTGCAGAAGCAGCATTGGATTCACATTCAGGTTGATTGATTTGCTGTAGAGCTTCTGATAAGTTATCGTTGGAAATATTCTGCTTAAAATTAATTCGATCTGCTGAATGTTCAGATACTCCCTTGCTGTACCCAGTTGTTTGGGCATTTCTAAATTTCTTTTTAGAAATCTTCAACAAAAAATTATTACAGGGCCGAAGTTCGCCAAAGGCTGGGTGTGAATATGGATCTCCAGGACGAAAATTTAGCTCCATTTTGTTTGACTGCTGTGTACGAACCTGGAAACACGGGAATATAGATTAATGTCGCAGGAAGAAAATTCAAGATGTCCGTAAATGTTACTAAAAATGCAAGGGAAGAAAGGTGGACTAGAACAAGAAATAGAATAATATAGAGAACATCTCATGGTAACAACACATTTGAGAACTACAACTGTATGCCCAAGAGTGTCAGTTGCACGGCAAGAGCTTATGGAAGAATCACTATCCACATAAGAGGTCTGCTTGTCCTTCCTAGAAGGAGGAAAATAAAGTAACCAAATCGTGAAAGAGAAAGAAGTTGATGAAGAAGAAATACGAATTTAGAAGAGAAATTGTAGGAAGAATAATTTCAAAAATACTTGTTTCTTTTCTTTGTAGTGTTATTTACTTAAAATCCATAGCATAAAATGAAGAAAAAAAACCACAATAACAAAGTAGAAAATTTCATAACTTTAGACTATTAATTGTGGAAAGAATAATTTACTCCTTGAAATAGGACACTCAATTTCTTTGAAGGTTCCCCCTCCACCACAAGTAATCACCAACATCACACAGAGGTGAGCAATGAAAAAAATCTTTAGGTTTCCTCAACCAAATAAAATACACAGAAAATCAACAATTTTTTTAAAATTCCATATCCACAAAAATTATTCTTTGAGAAATTACCCTCCGGGAATGGCTGATTGACCATTCGAATGGTTGAATTTGTGACTTCAATTCAATCTCTTCGACTAAACTTACCCTTGGCAAACTTGTTTGATGAGCTTAGCCTATGCGCCCTGTAAGTCAAAGCTACCTTTGAGTGCTTTCATCAAATGATGCATGTGGGCTGAGCCATTCCCATCGCAAGTGGTGGCCCGATTCGGCCTCATACCAACAATTTGAATTTCAGCAACATTTTCAATCATAAGACTGGAGTTCCGTGTCAATGTCTATTTAAAAAAATTTTGCATTTGGCTTAGGTCCCCATATATACTTACGTCATACAATTAAGGGCAAAAGGCTTGCGACGATCTAACTTTTTAATCCAGCAAAGCACTCCTAAACAACATGTATTAAGAAACCATATTATTGCAGAAATTTGCCAGTTCTATCACTAGCATATTTATGAAATTCCAGAAGTTGAGAGTGCTGTTACTTTATCATTAAGAATCTAATTGTATCCCCTTTACCCATCACAAAGCAAATAAGCCCTAAAAAATTCTGACAAATCATTTATAATGCTCTTCCAAACCTCCATATGCACACGTTTCAAGAAAATCTCTGCTGAGTGCACTTATGCCACTCGCCTCCTAAACTTCTATCTCTAATTAGAGAGGTTAAAACATCCCACTTAATCATATAATAATTTTTTTCTCGCATTCCTTTACATCCCAGAGAAGATACCTCCGCAGCATCTACATCTCTTGGAGATAAGCTAGGATTCCAAACGAAGAGGTGTAATATGAACAGATTGCTACTTCATCAGTATCAACTTACCTCCCTTCGATGTATAATCCCTCTTCCAACATGTCAAGGTGCACCCCAGATATCCAAAAGTAACAGGTTCCAACTCTTGAAGGTTCAAAGTATTCACACCCTCAGGGCAACCCCAATTGGTAATAGGAAGATTCCTCATATCCAAGACACCCTCAAAATACCAGCTCACCCAAATGCAGAACCTTCACCAATGAGCAGACTTCATAATTTTGATCTTATTAATAATCTTAACCGCATGCCTGACACTTGAGCCTAATCAATTTTATCTCACCGGTAGTTCTAATCTTTCAAAACTCTCCACCACTAGAAAATAATTAAACAAATTTAACTCCTTGGGCACAAAAAAGTATTCCACATATTAAAGTTATATATCAAACATGCTGCATTAGTTCAAATAGCCTCCATAACTCATTCAAAGAAATATGTGTATACACTACATGTGACAGACTACACTATACACTTCACATGTGCACATAAATAAATTTACGTGTTCACATATGATACAGAGCGGCGGCACTCCCACGTGTATACCTTCACAATGCCTTCGGTGCCACCGAGAGTCTCAACTGCACGTTCGATGGAAGAAGGGTAACCTGGATAATTAACTGCAAAGGCATCGCTGCTACTCGGCAAATTGCCAGATATTGAACCGTCTTTTATAATCCCCATGTTGTTCCACTTATTAATCACTAAGTAAACCTGTGCAAATAATCACGAAAAAAAAAGTATTAAATCCTTTAGTATAAAATATGGGACATTGTAAACATAGAAGTTTCAAAGTTAAACCCTAAATATAAACTAATTTTTCAACTTGAAGTCGTATAAAGAGGCTAAACCAGTCATATAGTTCAAGACTCTGTGCTTGCATTTGTAGCCTCACTCCAATTACCATATACAGTCAATCCAAAATCATCAAACTGATGTTTTTCCAAAAGGGTCTTTTGCTTTTCATTGATCAGACCAATATTGGAAACACTTGTAAAATGAGTTGCCACCTGAATCCCTGGATCATTCAATCCATTTCCTATAGCAACACCACCCAAATTCACCCTTTTTTTCCGTAGACAACTTGCCATTCTTCATTAGAATATAATATCCAAGTGCTGGAAGATATTTTCCAACATAATTTTAACCAATACTATAAATTGGCCTAGTTTTGAACTCAAAGTCTCAGGTACTAAAATAAAATTTCAGAAACACTGCTAAGGAAGATATTTTCCAACATAATTTTCACCAATAATATAAATTGGCCTAGTTTTGAACTCAAGTCCAAGGTACTAAAATTAAATTTCAGAAACACTGCTAAATCCAATCATATTTCAGCAAATAAAAAAAAAGCTTAAAAGAATATAAATACACATTGTTAATTGTAAAGGAACATTAATTGTAGCAAAATAGAATAAACCCAAAAAAACCTAAAGACACGTTGTAATTACTTATTGAAATTGCTGCAAAAAACTAATAATTTACCTCAGTCCTCAAACGCCGCGGCTGTAGCCTGGAAGTTGGAAGAGCTGAAGAGGGTTTGGCCCAAGTAGAAAAGGAGATATTTGTCACAGAAACAATGGTTCAATAACCTGCACAAAAGCAGAAAATAAATGTCACGGTTTCATCTCCTCTCCATCAACCAAATTTATGCAGTTATTAAAAATTTAACTTCTACCAAAAATTATAACAAATAACAGATAACCATCAATTTGGGAGGTCACATGTATGTTTGAAAGAGAGATTACCTCGTCTAATCCAATCAGATAGAAGTGAAAATTTGATTGTAACCAAATAGCAAAACTTTCAAGAGAGGAAAGTCTCTCAAACCTTAAGCTTCGTATAGATGAGAAGAAATTTCTTCTCGTGTCAATGCTAAAATTGCTCAGTACCCAATATCCCCTCTCCAATATCATCAATACTCATATATTGATGAACAAAAGCAACAATGTGTATATAATAATATAAAACAGATGGACAATTAAAACGAGGAAAGGAAATTGTGGTGAAATATGAAATTAAAGCAAAAGGAAAAGGCAACCAGCGCAAAAAAAATAATAATAATAAAATAATCTTCTTCTCACATATTTTAATGGTGAAAATTTGAAATCGAAGTCTTGGATTCTTCGGGAATTGCAAGAGACGGCTAAATCGTGAAGGGTGTGTTCAATTTTTCGCAGCAATATGTGGGAGGAGAAATTTTGGGCTTTGTATGCAAGATTATTTGCCTGTCCGGTTCACTTATAACTGGCCAGACGGTTTTCTAAAAATCGGACGGCTCACGGGTTAATGATGGGTTAATTGCACATTCCTATAAATGGGTCACCGACCGGAAGTCGTCTGTGTCTTATCCTACATTATTAAAAGAGTGAAGGATATATGTACTATTCATAAGCACTGTTCATAAGCACTGTTTATAAGTCGCCGGCTCGGCTCGACTAAGCCCCTTTTTTTTTTTTCAAACCGAGCCGATAGACTTTTAGTCTCGGCTCGGCTAAGCCGCTGAACCAATTTTTTTTTTT